AAACTCAAATAATGCTCATCTCCGGATCGACTTTCTAACTTTAGTTATGCAGAATTTATTTTCACTTTATTCCAGTGCTTTTTCCTTTCTTAAATCACATTCAATCTACTAATTTTAAATGCTCTTCATAATTTCTTATTGGGATTTTGTACCWCTCTGCTTAACTAGATCAGTCTTGCTACACATGCAAAAAGGTGTCTCTTTGAAAAATCTTTTTTTCTTTTTTTAAGTATTTTTAATGCCGCAAACTTGTGGCCATGAGTCACATGGTAGCTGGGCCATCAGTGACATGTCTGTTATTTCTGTGCTTCATACCAACCCCAAATATCCTCTTTTTTTGCTCTGCAGTCACATCTAACTACCCAGAATCTGTTCTTCATCTCACAYTGAACACTGAAAGCACACCGAAGGCAGAGGAACGCTTTCCAGCAGGTTAATGAAGTTTCCAGTCCTCATTTTTGTTGTTATTGCCTCCTGCTCCTGGCTCTTACAGCTGTGTCCCCACCAAAATCACAGGTTAGTCACCATCGCCTAGAGGTGGATCACTGTTCAGGAACAGGAATGCATTTTCTTTAAATTAATGTGAGTACTTAAATTAAAAGATGGGGAAAATAGATTTTGATAATTATGATAAGCACCATTATATTTTTTTCCATTGTTTTATCACAGAATGAACTTGATATTTGTAAATACAGCAGGGAGGTATGTATAAGAGCGAGGACAAGAGCTGGTTGTGTCAAATTGTAACACCTGCTGCAGAACAAATGGGTGYAACTGGCTGTAAATACATTCAGGACGACAATTAGGTGATTTCTAATCTTCAGAGAAGAAGAGCTTCAAGATAATATCCAAGAAGGTGATGTGAGGACAAGACACTTATGTTCAACTGAATATCTTWATGGGCAGGCTGATGTGAAATGTTGGTTTCTTTTATGAGAGGAGCAGAGGCAATGATCTAACCCTTCCTCCTGAGTGTCTGAGATGACTGAGGGTTTTTTGGAACAAGCTTAATCCCTGGATGAGGGAAGGTATAATTACTGCTATGATTACACACGCAGCTGCTTTTTTTCTGCCATGTCTCTCCATGACCCATGTTTGGGGGGAATGTGCGTTCGTTTGTTCCAGTCTCTGCTGCACCTACCTGCCCTGGCTGATGACACTTCACTTGCCAGCTGCCTGTGGTGACTGGCTGCAAGCTGTCACCTCTGCGCTCTAGTAACCTCAAAGAACACATCACAGCTCCCCTTGGCTCCACTGGCACGGATTAAGAAGCACTCATGTGATCCCTGCTGCCAGCAAAGCTTGAGGGGTCATGGGCAGGGAAGCAAGAGCAGAGTGCTGCAGGGTAAAATGCTTCAGCTGCCRCAGCCTGTTTGCAGCCTGACCCCTGCTCTTTGCCTCAGATCTTCTTTCGGTCTCCAAAGAGTGTGCTGCGTCAGTTGGCCTTGACTTTGCTCTGTTTGATTTGCGAAGGTGAACTTAGAGCAATGCAATTGCCTTGTGTAAGTGTGCTAAGCTGTTGTAAGGATGTGAGTGTGCTAAGCTTGTTGTAACTCAAGTGTTTATTGATATGGGACTATTCAGATTATAATATGAGACSGTTTATGAGTACAAACACTAGATAGGCTGTAGGACTGAGCGATAAGAGCACCAGGCACATTCTGTGTGCCTGTGGAAAGAGGGTATTTTGGGGTTYCCTGCAATGACAGCCCCTGGGTGTGATGGAAACAGCCGGTCTCTCCATGGCTGCTGAGGCTCCAACTGTGCCGTCACCTGAAGATGTGCCTGGTGGTCAGTTGCCCCCCTCTGCCAGCCTCCCTGCAAAGGTATAATGTCATCTGTAAATTTATATGGGGTGTGGGGTCTGACTTCCAAACCCCAGGACTGCCTTGCAGTGGAGGGGATCAGCGTCTCCTTGGGCTGTAGGTTGCAGAGGTTGGCAGCCACATCTGGATAACCTCATGTGATCATGATCTGATTTCTCTCTAAGTAAACAGGCAGGCAAATATTTTCACTCCTGTTCATGGTATTTTCCTGGCTTTGTCATACCGGGAATTGAACATGAAAATATCTTTCCCTCGTCATGGCACACAGATCTGTGTTCACAGCCATGCTGCTGGTGCTGGTAATACGTGGGCAAGTCTGTGGCGTCAGGAAAACCTCTATTAATTTGAGCTGATGTTTTAACAGCAGATTCTCTATGTGTTTTGCCAAGGAAGGAAGGGAGTCCTAGGGAGAAAGGAATGAAAACTCAATTTTCAGAGCTATTTGATACATATTTCTCTTCTGCTCTGGCAGGCAGGAGCTGTGAAAGAGCCATCAGGGCCCCATTTAAGGGCAATATCCATGTGAAAGCAGAGTAATAGTTTTCTGTCACTGCTTCTCCCAAACTGCTTCCCGGAGTGGGAATGGGCTTGGAGAAAAAAGTGTGTCATACTGCTCCAGAAAAAATTRTGTCAGTGTGCTCCAGAATAAAATGTGTCAGGGTGCTCCAGCACTTGCCCCTTTTCAGCTGATAAAATGAACCTTTGGTCTCATGAGTAACCTTAGATTTTGATCTTTCTGCTGAGTTCACTGACCTCGGGAAGCCATTTATWTAGGACTTGGTCTCCAGCCAGTTGTATGAGCATGGCCCAAAGTGCTCTCCTCCACCTCTCTTYTGCTGCAGCAGTTTGATGAAAGGGACGGCACAAAAACCTTCAATCTGCCTGCTCAAGAGGGCTCACACCTCTCTTACCACGAGCATGCAAAACCTCTTTTTTCAATCCAATGTTGTATCTTGTTAAACTGCAGGACAACAGAGTTGCATCTTGGATTTATATAATAATWTTGTGCCTTTTGCACAAGCACTTGCTTCTCCCGTAGTGACTGAGTAGTTGTTGGAGATCAGCTCTTTCTGGAAATAGTTAAAGCATTGCTGGGGATTTGGGAATTTGGGAATGTATTTACTGATTAAATGGAGCAGCATGTGTTACCCACATGACGATGTCRCTATGCTGGGTAGAGGCAGGCCCTGTGCAGAGGCAGATTAGCCTGGTGTGGCAGTGGCAGCTCCCAGGCTCGGCACCACAACCTGTGCAGATGCCAGCATCCTCTCAGGTTGTACACACCACAGAAGTGACACTGCAGCTCCCAGCTCGCTGCAAAGGTGCCRGCACAGAAGGATTCTAGGTTCCCTYCTGGRGAGAGCAAYGGCAGGATGGAGAAAAATCTCACATGSCATTGAGGCTTCCATTTCACTTTCCAGCCTGGAATCAAGGGGATACATTTAACTTTTTTCTTAGTTTGTTAAAAAAACAAAGTAAAAGAAATGGAAATAAAGCTTGTGCTGTCCATATACTGGAGATTTGTTCTTTCCCTTTTTCAACAGACTGCAGCCTGTTCTGTAATCTCAATGTTCTTTCTTAAAGTTCTTGGAGGGCTACAAAGCTACTTTCTATATTTATATGTGGGAGGCTTGTATCCTTCTCTCCTGTCATAATTTGGAGACAGTCATGATATGTCAGCATTTGGGAGAATGGTTTCTAAAAACAGAAAAAAATAATTTCTATAAGAAGTAAACTCTCAGTGTCAGGGAGAAACAGAGCAGAAGGCTTCTGTTGGGGTGAACAGCTGTGGAGGATGGGCASTGAAGGCTCCCGTGCTGTCATCAGCTGATGTTGAAGCCGATTCCTCTCTTCCGCGGCACCTTCCAGTCCGAGGGGGCAGGATGGGGGCCCGCAACCTCCCTGTGCGCGCTGCACGCCTCCGCGCCGGCTTCCCCCGCACCTGCGGAGTGCCGCCCGAAAAACTCTGCTCTTTCACTTAATTATTTAAATTCCAAGGTACGCCGAGGCTTGGCCGCACTGGAGATGCGGTGCCGGCAGTGTGGTGCGGTGCTGTGCGGTGCTGTGCGATGCCGCGGAATGCGGTGCGGTTCTGTGTGGTGCCGGCGGTGCAATGCGGAGCGGTGCCGGCGCTGGGGTGCGGGGCAGTGCGGAGGGTGCGGGGCAGGAGCACGGTGCGGACCGTGGCATGCGGGGCGGTGGGATGTGGAGGGATGCGGGGGGGTGTGGAGGGATGCGGGGCGGAGGGATGCGGG